AAGTATCTAGTGAGAAAATATGCATGCTATAGCTGTTGTAAAATAGACAAGCTTACAAACACTAAAAATGTGTGGCAGTTTCTCCAAAGGTTAAATATAGAGTTACCATATGACCCAGCAATTCCACTCCTTGGTATGTACTCAAGAGAAATTAAAACATGGCCACACAAAAACTTGTACAAAAATGTTCATAACAGCATTATTCATAATGGCTAAAAAATAGAAACAATCCAAATGCCTATCATCAGATGAACGGATCAATAAAATGTGATATATATACCCAATTAACCCCTATAATTAATTATTCAAGAATAAAAGGAATGAAGTACTGATACATGCTACAGTGAACCTTGGAATATTATGCTAAGAGAAGCCAATTAGTTTTTCAAAACCAACATATTATATGATTCCATTTATATGAAATTTCTCTATAAATATGACAGTTATAGAGACAGAAAGTGGATTAGTAATTGTCTAGAGCTGAAGAGTTTGGGAGGAAATGTTGGACGACTACAGGTGGGTACAGGGTTTCTTTTCAGGGTGATGAACATGTTCTAAAATTGACTGTGGTGATGGTTGCACAATTCTGTGGATATACCAAAAATCAATAAATTATACCTATTAGATAGATGAATTATATAGTACGTGACCTATATCTCAATAAAGTTTTTAGAAATCACACTAAAATATTTCCTTCAGCATGGGATGAAAGCAGAAAGGAACATCATGCTTCTTTTATGCACTTAGTTTTGTTTCCATTTTCTGAAAAGATACATTGTGTATCTAAATAGCATTCCCCTTTCCTTGTGCATCTGGACTAGCACATGTTCAAACATCAGACAGCATTCAAGAATGAATGAATGAATGAATGAATGCCCAGCAAAGTCCTGATAAAGTGCCTTGGAAAGGCACGACGGAAAAGGAGTACTCACAGGCAGTCCCCGGGGTCCTCGGGGTCCCACCTCTCCTGGAGGCCCCTGTTGGCCCTGTTATGAGGAAGGCAGGTAGAGAAAAAGTTAACCACCCCTGATCACAATGGGTTAGAACTTAAGAAAAGGTAAAATAGCATCTTACCGGTTTGCCTGAATTTCCCAACTGACCAGGCTTCCCTGGAGCACCTGTAGTACCCTAAAGGTAAAATGCAACATTCAAAGTAACTCATACTGTAAGCAAGCATAATCACCAACAGGCGATTACCCAGACCAGGTGTGTTTCTTACATTTAAATAGCATTAATTTCCTGATTTCACATTGAACATATGGGAAAGTGTAGAATCTCTTTCTTGCTATGCACAAAGTCATTTAAGATTCAGGATACTACTAGTCCGAGAAGTATATTAAAGGCCAAATGTCAAAAAATGAAGGTCTTTGGCCTTCATTAAAAGAGATCCCCTTCAATGAGAGGATTTTTCTTTCTTCACAATATTAATAATGCATATCCTTCCTTTACCATTTCCACCTCCAACACACTTCTTTGAGCACTTTTAACTCACATTGACACCCTCTATTAAAATTATTAAGAATCAAGTCAGCATCAGGAAATAGGATATGCTGTTGAAAAAATCCTTCCAGCAAGCTCCAGGGAAAGCATATGTCTGGGGTCACCTTCTCCACCATCAATCTCTCAAGGTGCTCTTATTAGGAACTGTCCCTGCTCAAGATGCCGTGGGCCACTATGACTGGAGGGATGTAGCCATACACTTGAATAGGGACTAATTTCTACATCATTCACATTGATCTCTTTGATTCTAAAGCAAAGCTATATTTTATCCCTTTAATTTTTTTCCACCTATTGTTTTTAATTGCTTGTGCTCTAGTGCTGTATAGAATATAAGCACTGGTTGATCACCACGTGAACAAAATGACTAACATCTTTAGTTTAAACTGAATCATCTTAATATTCACTGACACAAGTTTTATGGCTTAATAATAGCTTCCTTATTTTAAGTGGTAAGGAACAATAAAAATTTTATTTGTTTTATATTGGCTAAGGATGACATTTTCATTAAGAAGTCTAATCAGCAGCACTTTGTCAAAGCATTCTTTCTGCAGCTAGGAAAAAGATTAGCATTTGAAGCCTTAAAGCTTTTACTCTTTTATTTCTCCCCAGGGTTGAATATAAAATAAAAGGCAGTCTGGAAATATGCTAAAATTACAAATAAAATATATTAATAAAATAAATAAATTTAGGAAAACATAAATTTAAAAGTTTTAATCTTTTACCTTTGCACCGGCAACACCCTTTGCACCGGGAATTCCAGGCACACCCTAAAGAATGCACACAGAATCTGAATTTAATCACCTCATCTGAGAACCCATGAGATGCCAAGCCCACTGCACACTTCCCAGAGACTGAGGGAATCCTGTAAACCTCAAAGCTTGAACGTGAGGGAGAAGCCTCCTAGTTCCCAAAGTCTGGACGGTCAGATGTGGAACTCCCCACGGTTTAGGGCAGTACTTTACCGTAGCTATCTGGCTTGTGACAGCTGAATACCCTTAAAGCAAATCCTACCCTCTAAACTAACATTATTTTTCAAGGATGAACTTCCAGATTAGAATCCAGTACCATTTTTAGGTCAACAGGAGCTCTAACGGACAGAACAGAGGGTACAGGGATGTGGCATGGTTTCATGTACAGGATAGTAAAATGAGGACCCAGACTTTATGGTAGAAAAAGGGAATGGCAGGAGGATGCTGGGCCTAATCCAGATTTGGTACAATTGGGAGTCCTAAAGTTCTCTGATTATTTAAAAAGTGTCAGGCTGGGCATGGTGGCTCACGCCTGTAATCCTAGCACTCTGGGAGGCCAAGGTGGGAGGATCGCTCAAGTTCAGGAGTTTGAAACCAGCCTGACCAAGAGCAAGACCCCGTCTCTACTAAAAATAGAAAGAAATTAATTGACCAACTAAAAACATAGAAAAAATTAGCCGGGTATGGTGGTGCATGCCTGTAGCCCCAGCTACTCGGGAGGCTGAGGCTGAAGGATCGCTTGAGCCCAGGAGTTTGAGGTTGCTGCGAGCTAGGCTGACACCATGGCACGCTAGCCCAGGCAACAGAGTGAGACTGTCAAAAAAAAAAAAAAAAAAGTAAAAAGAAAAAAAACCCATCACATATCAGATTGAGAGTAGAGAGGCTAGTCCTTGACAATACCAATGCCTTATTAACTTGAAACATTTACTTCCAAAAACCAAGAATACAAGTGGCACAAACCAAATGAATTTCCAGACACACTAATGTAGGGAAACATCAATTTGAATGATTCAAACTAGCACATAATCCAAAAAATGATATATCTCACATAGTTCCTAAGCATACTTTCAACTCTCCTGTGGCTCAACCCTGCTAACAAGAACTTCAGAACTTATTAAAAGTAGAACAAAGTATATGACACTCGCCCACAGTTCAGGGTTAGTAAAAAATATATATAAGGAAGCCCGAGTGAACTAAAGAGAGAAAAGAGACACAAAACATAAAGCTACTATTAATATTTGTAGTTATTACAGAAATAACTATTCAGAGAAAACAGTATAAAATGTAAACTATAAAAATGTGAAAGTAAATCATATCTTCTCCACTATGTAACAGATAACATGTAATTATGTAACATGTTTCTACCCAAAATTCATATCTTTAAAATATGCATATAAATCAATAAACACTTAAAGCATCAAATACTTACTGGTAATCCTTGCAATCCTGCATCACCAGGAGGCCCATGTTTCCCTGGTTGACCCTGAAAAAAAAGTTTTGCATATCCTTGAATCTGTATAAATTGCCATATTTCTTTTAAGAAAGAAAGGAGCAAATCCTTGAACCTGATGAACTGCTGTATTTCTTTTAAGAAAGGAACACAGACCTCTAAGTAAAGAGAGTGTCCCAACAGCTGACCTTACATGCACCTTTATAATGTGACTTAATTAGGGGGAGGAGGGACAGGGAACATGAGACATAAACTCAATCAAAATACACAATTTCACTCAGCCTACTCTCATCAACAGGACAATTTTACTGAGTTCCTGAAATCAAGCTAATAAACTCTTCTAATAAGTATTTATATTTGACACTTGATTAAAAAATAAAGAAGGAAAAAAGCCAAAGCTGGCTAAATCAACCATCCAGTAATTCAGCAATGGAAATGCTATGTTCGGGTGACCAGGACAGAAACAACCTCATTCACGCTTGCACTAAATTACACAGCTACCTTTGTTCCAGGCATTCCAGGGATCCCGTCACGGCCGTCCACACCTGGCAAGCCCTAAAGACACACAAAGAAACACACTGTCTCTTGCAAAAAGTCATATTCTTCTTCTCTTCATTGTTATCTAAAGTTTTATTACAAGTCAATGATCGCTTTGAAAAATGTGCTTCGTGACTACAGCTCTGGACATACCGTGTCCCCTTTGGGCCCAGGGGGACCAGGAATTCCTCTAGAACCTTGAGCCCCCTGCAGGACAGAAGAGAAAGGCATACTTAATTATCACAGTACTTAGGACATGTCTAAGAGATAATAATGATCAACACATGACACTGAAAAGCAGATGCTTGTAGTGACTGAAACTAATGTGAACTCACTCTGTCTCCCTTGGGACCTGCTTCTCCCAGAGGTCCTCGCCGTCCTTGATCACCCTGTATGAAAATTAAACTTTGTCAATATAACCCCAAGGTCCTTATTGATAAACTTTTGAAAATTAGAAAGCATCCTCCACATGACCTAACTACTACTCTTTCACCACAACGGCTTTGCTCTGTCATGGATGCCTAGCTCAAGAAATCTTTCTATAAAAATTGTACTGTCTTCAAAATTGATATTGCTGTGGAGATAATTGAGACTTGCATGCCTTTTGTTTTTAAGTGTATAATGCTTCTGTGCTCTTTGAATATATACATATTAAAATGAAGACCCCTGATGCAAGTAATGACATAAGTAACTACATCTGCATACCAACTAAACTCATCAACTTACAGAAAGTTGAAGATTGGCTTAGTTAATAATCTTTTCTCCATATCATTTAATTCCCCAGTCAATATTAACGGTTTCTCTCAAAATTACCCAGCTAAGGTTGATATATGGTAAAGAGGGTAATAGATGAGAGGAAGTGTCTTCCTAAAATACAGCTTTTATTGAATTGCTTAACAACTCTAAAACCTCAAATGGCTCCCTATTGCTAGCAGATCAGTTCAAGTGGCTCAGATTGGCATTAAAATTCTTCATAAGAGATACAGTGGTGCAGCAGAAGTGTGCTGGGCCCATAAAATTCTCCATAAGGTAGAGTTCTATCTTATCTATTCAATCTCATCTTCTCGACACAAACTTTCCACTCCAGGGAGTGACAGCCCCCATGACAGCACACACACACACACCCCAACAGTGCCCCTCCTGTACCTTGCTGCCTTTCCCACCAGAATGGTTTTCCAAACCCTCCTCCCTCTCAGGTCCTCTTGCATGGATTACCTATCATGTGCTCTACCACTTGATCCTGTAGTTTATCACCAAGTTACATTCTATCTTTCCCACTGGATCATTAGGACCCTGACAGTTTAAAATACTAGTTTACTTATACATTTTTATGGTATAAGTGATTACTAATGGATGGCTTTTATGTCTGTTTCCCTCCCAAAAAGGCTTGGGGGGGGGGGTATAGTAATGACACATGTATATATGGCAATCAAAATACGAAATAATGAAATGAGAAACCATAGACAAGGAGAAGAATAAAACTGCCCAGGAACTAGAAATGAGAAAGCTTCTGTGACCACTTACAGCTACACCAGGAAGACCCTGAGGCCCAGGTTCTCCATCTAAGCCCCGAGCACCCTACATAAAAACAAGACAAAGAAATAAAATTAAAATCAGTCATGTATGTTAAAGGGCACATCCATCTTTCTAAAGAAATTTAACAGTCAGGTGAAAAGGAGGTTTTTATGTTTGTAATACATACTGTATTTGTCAGTGAGCCCCGAGGAGTATTTACTCAGACATCTCAGATTCGAAAACACCAGTTTACATCTACTCACCACAGCAACAGTACTTAAACATAATCTTTGATACCACTCTGAGTATTTCAAGTTAACTCTGCATCCATTCTCAATTGCTGACAACAACTAAACATTGGTACCTATTCAGAGAACTTAGTAAATCTATTAGAGGAGGTTTGGCAGCCACCCTCCAGGGTTCTCAGAATGTCAATGGAAATTCATTATGGTGAGGGCTACGGAGCTACCCTAAGAACTGCTGCCACACTCTGTTGGAACTTCTGGGACTCGAGATCTCCCACCAAGATCTAGAAGTCATCCAGCCATGTGATTCAGATGAATGAATTGTTAGAAGGACCTGAACATCCCCTCTCCCATCCTAGGTAGATGTTAGGTTCAGTTTGTGTAAAGGGACCAGCCTATATTCTCAACAATAGAACCACACTACAACCTACACCCTACAACCAAGAACTACCCAGAGCTTTATAAATCTGATTACCTTGAAATGATCTCTGACTTGGCTACCTATTGTATATATCACCTCTTTATTTTCATTATGAGAATTGTAATGTGATTTTAAAACAAAAATACAGTTCTCTCTACTTATGCTGCCTGACAAAATACAGCCCCCTTCTTTACATCTTTTTCTCTTCTACTGAGTGGTTAAGAAGGTGTACATACAAAACTGAAGTGAACAGGCAGTGTCCTAACGAACCAGGTTGAGACAGGGAGATGATAAAACAAATAGAAACAGTCAAAAGAGTATTGGACAGATGTCAAGCCAAGAAAGCCAGATGGATAGCATCTGTAGTAAGAATTAAAATTAGAAAATCTTTGATAGAAGGTTCAGACATAGGTAGAATGAAAGAAAGAATACAACTGAGGCAGTGGCACCAAAGAGCCTTGGAAATTCTTTGATCCCTAAAAAACTAGAACAGAGCAGAAGGCATTTTGCATTCACCGGGGAAAAAGAGATTTGGAAGACATGAAAAAGACCTTGAATTTATCATTCACCTTGCATTATGAGAGCAGAGCCCAGCTTTTGCATTATAGAAATGGCTTTGATGCACTCGCGCTCTCTCTCTCATTGCTGTTCAGCGTGAGCTCAGACCCAAACTGCTGTTACTAGGTAACCACTCCATGGGTCTGAGTTCACAAGAAGAGTTTTTTTTCTTTATTTTTTTTGAAAGCAATTTGACAGAAATCAGAGGAAATGAGAAATTTTTACCAAATAGAAAAATATCTCAAAGAGCATATCAAGACTAGTAATTGGTTTCAAAGTGAGGGCTCACACATTTTATGGGACAATTTAAATCCAGAAAATGTGCAGGCTTAGGTATCAGCAGCTTCAAAATAAATGAGATTTATTATTTTATAGAAGAAGTGATACATACTGAGTATTACTTAATGTAATATGAATATAGAAATATGAAAGATTATGTTTTTACAAATACAAAGTTTTTTGAAAAGACATATTCTAGCAGGGATGGAAGAGGAAAGCAGGGAGAATGAAAAATACCTAGAAGAGACAAAGAGCCTGAAAAAAAATGAAATTGAGAGAAAAAATAGTAAATAAGCCAGACCTTCAACTTACAAAAACATGCAGCACTTGAAAAAAAAAAAAAAGATTTAATTTCATTTACTGAATGAACATCTACACTGTCCAACTTATTGTTATTTCATTGTTAATAACAGGCTCTGTTATGTGGAACATAACAGGCTGCTATGTGGAAATGACACAAATTAGCTACCAAAGCTCTAAAGAGAACAAGGCCAGGGTCAGAAGTGGTAGTGTTGGGCAAAGATGCTTTTTGTATTTTCTGGGACCTACAGATTGGCCCTAGTGTCACTGGGGGTGTCCTGCCTTCTCTCACCTCTCTCCCCCTCTTCCCCTGTCTTTCCAGGCACTATGTGTCAGTGTTATCAGTGCTAACTACCAAAAATGATAAAAAAAAAAAAAAGATAAGAGATAGCAACCCCCTTATTCTAATTTACTCAAAATAATTTAAAGTATATAATACATGATAAGTATCATGTGTACTGCTCATTCCTACCATCCGTGCTTACAACAGAAATGTAAGAACCTAGCCACACATTTACAAAGCAAATAAAAAAGTGATATTGCTAAAGATAAGAAGTTATTTGTAAGTGGCCAAAATTTAAATATTGACATTATGTCCTTGTCATCATCTTACTTTTTCTCCTTTGTCCCCAACTATGCCGGTGATGCCTCTCAAACCTTGAGCTCCCTGGAAACATAAAAAAGAAAAGTGAATTATTTTAGTTAAGTACATAGATTTTTTAAATCTCATCACAAAAGCTGATCCAGAAGAAGGATTTATCATAACCAAAGGTAATATTAAGAAATAGTGACATTATATGAACAAACTTTTCTAGTTTAGAAAAGAAGTCCAAGGAGAATTCTTCTGATGGTAACACCCTTCTATAAAAATTCTGAAGACTTACACAAAACAGGATTTAGCACAATCACTCATGACATAAAAAGTAAATACCAGCATAAGAGAAATTATGATAATATGTTTTGATTTACCTTTTAGCCCACATACAGAACTTACACTACTATTCCCATTTCCTTTACAACTTATGACTTTGTGACACATAACATGATTTGTAAACCTTGGAATAATTTTTCCCCACCAATATGCCATCAAAGGCAGTCGGTTCCCAGGCTGGCCCACAAAAGCTTACAACATAGAAATGGAGCTGGAGTCTCCATCAACCACTTGTAATCACTATTCATTGTGTCATTTTTATATAAAAGGCATTTTGAATTCCAAGTTGGGGCAGTAGGAACCCATCTTACCCCATTTCAGGCACAGGAGTGAATAATACTAAAAATGAGAGGGCAGGTGTGATTTCTAGGATTCCTTTCAATACTAAAATATTGCCATTCTCAACTCTCTGGTTCCACAGCAGGGGGGCTCCAGAAATGGATCCCATCCCATAAAGGGTGAGCTTGGGTACTCCTTTGGGGTGCAGCTCTGGGTGGATGCTCCACCAGGAAAGTGGGGTAGCTACTTCTGGACAACTTCTTAACTATCCACATTGACTTAAGATAAAGTAGCTCCAGGCCAGTCATTTCCCTCATCTTCTCACTTGAGGAAAATGGGGCAAATGTATGACCATCTCTTCATCCAGATCAGTCACAAATGCTGTAAAGATCACTCAGGAATGATCTGAAACTCAAATGCACAGGTTGGTCCAGCTTAGGATATCCACCTAGGCTGTCAAGTGAGACGTGGCCATGTCAGATTAAAGCCACTCTTTCTCGTGTAGCTCATTTACTGATTCAAAAGGTAATTCCACAAAAAGAATTCAAAATATATTTGGGTCAATAGCAGTGACATGAGAACACATATTGTCTCTTGAGATGACTACTTTGAAGGGCAGAGCTTTGTATAAATATTCCAAGAAGCATATTTGTTTCATTTGTATGTTACTTTATATTTGTGCATGTATATTTAAAAAGTGAAAATTTATAAATTTTCTGGAAACATTTTGGCATACTTATTTCCAAAAACCAAAAGGTCAGCAAGCACTAATGACGTCCCCCAATGGACCACTTGAGCCACGCAGCACCCAACATGGATCCTTAGTCCGTGAAAACACTTTGTAGAAAGTTGTTTGCAAAATCCTGTTCTGAGAATCTTAGGGGGTGGCTTTATAAAAATAACTTTAAAAACCTACCACATTTTCATCAGATAAAAAAAAAAGTGTACGTCTCTTACACTGTTTGTCACTATCTCCCACCTGTGAAATAGAGTCCAATTCATTACTGACTCATACCAAAGGCTCAGGGAAGGCAAGCTTCTGGAACAAGCACCTGGATGCCACAGATTTCCTTAAAGTTCTCATGTAGCTTAAAAGCAGAGACTGTTTCTTCCAGATTCTCTGATTTGTTTCCTTTAGCTTGATTTCCCTTCAGCTTTAGGTTCCCTTAAACACTAGTATGCACAGCTCCCTGAGCCCTTTCTAAAAAGCCCATCCTGTGGGGAAGAGCAGAGCAGGTGAAGGGTGGCTTTGTGTTTGTCTTCCCTAACTCTTCATAGTCTATACCTTTGCTAGCTGCCATGTTCAATGAATATTCTGCAACTATTATTTCCATAATTGATATTACTCATTTTAATAGTAAAAAGTATAAAAATTCCACTTTCATATAGTACAAAAGTAATGTAAATTCTGATTTAACAAACATTTGAAATTAAAGTATGTTAATGTCCCAAATTACCTTACTGTGACTATTATTGAAGAAATCTGCCACAGTACAAGGAACCACATTTTTATCAAAGGACACAATTATGAGCAATTAAGAATGTTTTAATTATAATGATTACATACTGGAATAGACTACATTAATCCAGTGGATGTGCTATCAACTGTATATTGAGAGTACACAAAATTTTCTCATATCATGTGATAATACCATAGAAGACATATATCATCCTCTTGTGCTTAATACTTGCTTTTAGATTTCCTGGCCCTGAGATCTAGTAAATGAATGTATGTAATTATAAACAGAACTTTTCTAGTAAAAAAAGTGCTTCAATGTACAATGGGGAACCTCTCTTATTTTGAAAAATTGGGTATCTCCCACTGTTGACTTGGCAGCAAAATAGAAAATACCATGTTAATGTAATGCTATTAATCGTAATGCTAAGTAGAAAATATTCCAAGAGTCATGGGAAAAAATGAATATTTGCATATCCTGGTTAAATAGTTTTTAAAAAATACTTTACTGGAGGTCCTTGAGCTCCAACTTCTCCCAGTTCTCCCTGGTCACCTTCTTCACCCTAAAAAACAACAGAAAAAAGGAAATGAACATGGATATAGGCTCAGTCTAACTCAATATGTTTTAAATTCATTTGGCATCTCCAGAATTACTCTACTTTCTTAAATTATTTTATGTGGGTAATCCATATTAATTGTAGAACATTCAGAAAATAGAGAAGTATACAAATGAACTAGTCACACAAATCCCACCAATTAACTTTAAATAGCAATAACATTTAGCTGCTATCCTTTCAAAGCTTTTCTGAGAGAAAGAGAGAAAATTTATGCATTACCAGTGTGTGTCTGGGATGGGAGTGTATTATTTTAAAACATGATATATGCAAACTTTTCCATAAGCTACAATATTTGTAATTATGATTTCATTTTAGTTTTTCCTATAATTTTTTTACCATATACAATTTTTTAAGGTAAATCAGACTTTTCTTTAATGGGTTGTACCTTTGATGTCATTCATAGAGAAACCTTTTCCGCCCCAAAATATATAAATATTCATCTATATTTTTGTTCTAGTATTTTCATAATTTCTTATCTTACACAGAAATCTTTAATTATCAGTAATTTTTTGATGTACAATGAAACAAATTTTTCTTATCTTGGTGATTGGCCACTTGTTCCAATATCATTAACAGATTCTCTCCAACACAGGTTAGAAAATTCATTTTCAACATACACTAAATTGTCAAATATGCTTGGCTCTAGATTTCTATTCTGATCTAACGATTTTCTGTATGATGTTGCCAATACTACAACATTTTAATTTTTGAAATTTTATAATACATTTCAATTTCAGATAGGGAGAATTTTCTTATTTTTAATTTGTGGTTAGTCTTATTTTTTAGATTTTCCTAAATGTTTACTCTTCCAGATGAACTTTAGAATCACTGGACAGATCTTCACAAAGTACTACTTGCTTTATATTAGGACTGCATTAAACTAATAGATTAATATAGCAAGAATTAGAATCTTTACATATTGAATCTTTCTGTCCTGGAACTCAGTGTACCTCATTTAGCCAAATCTCTCCCTTTATATTTCCAGCAATAAATTTTTTGTTATGTTTTTATATTAGTCTTAAAAATTTATTAGTTATGTTATATTTTTATATTAGTCTTGAAAATTTTATTCTAAGATATTTGGACTATTTGGTTGCTATTGCCAATGGGATCTATTTCCATTATATTTTCTATTATTTTGACTTTTTGATATTAATTCTATAACCTCTGCTATAATGTAAAATGGTAGAATATTCCAAAAAGAAGTTTAACTTCTTTTATAGAAAGATTGCTTTACGGACTCTGAAAAAAGTTACTTTCTCTCTGATAAGGATTTTATTTTTTAATAATAGATACACTACCCTACATTTTCTGCAGTAACAGCTATCTTAAATTGTGAAGTTAATCATAAAAAAAATTACTTCATGTTTTTATGGGTCTTGCTCTGTTACCTAAGCTGGAGTGCAATGGCTTGACCATAGCTCACTGCAGTCTTGAACTCCTAGGCTCAAGGCATTTTCCCACCTTAGCCTCCTGAGTTGCTGCTGGGACTGCAGCAGCATACCACCTGGTCTGGAACCCAGGCCTCAAGCAGTGCTCCTGCCTTGGCCTCCAGAAGTGCTGGGATTAAAGGCACTACCACACCTACCCTGTTTTTAATATTATATGCAGAATATTAGATTAAAACCATTTTATTGCTATTATATATGATTCAATGCACTCACTTTCTTGCTCCACAGACTATACTTTATATTTAGAAATTTTCACAAAAAAAAGAAAATATTGTACAGAAAATTTAACAGTATTAATATAGAGCTTTTAAGGCATTTAAAGCAAAGAACTATGCTATGCCTAAATCATTTATACCTGAGTTTTTAATGAATTATTAGAGTCTTAAATTGGTTTTAGTCTGATAATTATATTCAGATTATATTCCATTAGAACCTGATTAACCATGGTAAGAGGCAATCCCAATGGGAAATCCAATAAATTAGCTATTTCATGGAGTGAATAATCATCACATGTGCACAATTAAATGCTACTTGTATTTCCTTATGAAAGGATAAAACTAGCTATGAAAACAACAGTGATTGATATGTCCACTACAATTTTTCCTTAGCAGGGTATAGTGTATTTTCCCATAGGTTCTCCATAATCCTTGGAGTAACATATTTGAATTAAATATTTCTCCTGCAGATGAAAAGCACAAAATCAATCAATAACCAGGAATTTAAATCATAAATTTAGGAGTAGCAATTTATTATTGTTTTACTGAAAGATTTTTTCATGAATACTCATCTGTTGTACAATGTTGCCAATATCACATTTTAATTACTGAAATTTTACTATTCATTCCTATATTCATAAATAATTTTTAAAATCTTCATTAACTAATTTGCAGAGTAAATTCAAGGCAAAATTATGACTGTAAATGCAGACTTCAGGCCTCCAGGGTCTTAATCATTCTGCTTTCAACTTAAGTTCAGTCCATCAGTTAGTCCTTCCAAAGTTCATTCTTCAGTAAGCTTTGTCAGCCTACCTATTTTCAAAGATATCACTTAAAGTATCAAGTAACACAAAAATGTAAAATAATGTTTTCAACTTCCAATGAAAATTTTGTCCAATTACCCAACACACCAAAAAAATTTGTTAGTTTCCTACTAAAGACCAAACTAAATTAGAGAGTCCAGCTAATTTGTATAGGTACCAAAAATAGTAGTTTCATGTAGAGAATGAAGAAATACCCTGATTGACAGCTCCATCCCCAAATTCCATGGGATGGGGCAGTGAAAGCTTCCTGAAAGACAGTCACCAAAAAAGGAAAGGATGCAGAACATCAAAAATAACAAAAGTCTACTATATCTGCTTTACTATATATATTATTCCATGGATATCTTTTGATGCCATTTAATATTCTTACACACCTGGTTTTTGTAGTTAGCTATTATTATATGGATATGTCATACTCAATTTAGCCAGTACCCTGTGATTAGACATATTTTTTTCATTTCCATGCCCCCAGCACCCAGGATAAACCCTGGCACACAGCAGATACTTAATAAATATTTGTTACATTGTTTAAATTACAAACTTTAAGATTCAATGGAAGAATGTATATCCAGAAAAATTTCCAAAGTATTCAATTTTTTTCTCTCTTTTCTCCAATTTGACATCAGGACCCCAGCTGTTATATTCCAGATAACAAAATTCCTTGACTATTTCACAGCCTACATAATAAAAGACTTTTAAAATAAATGTCCAAACTGTAATAGTGTACAGAAAATTGGCCTATTTATCCTGATTATTGGGGTTATTCAACAGACTGATTTTAGCTAAAGAGTTCAAAGATATTAATGCCTGAAGACATTGATAAATTGCCTCTCCAGCTCTTGGCTTGCAAAGAAAAAGACTAATCTTTCTGCCACTACCCAATAAAGGGGTAGAAGGGCATAGTCAACAAAGTTAAAAGAACCTGCATTGATAAGAACAGTTTGACTTTGTGAACTATTATAAAATTTACTGAGCCAAAAATTCCACTATGCAGAAAGTCAAATTCTTAGATCCTTAAAGATGACTTACCCTCGTGGATAAAAAAAGGGCAAATAGGCCGGGTGCAGTGGCTCACACCTGTAATCCTAGCAGGCGGATCGCTCAAGGTCAGGAGTTCAAAATCACCCTGAGCAAGAGCGAGACGCCCATCTCTATTATAAATAGAAAGAAATTAATTGGCCAACTTATATAGAAAAAATTAGCCAGGCATGGTGGCGTGTGCCTGTAGTCCCAGCTACTCAGGAGGCTGAGGCAGAAGGATTGCTTGAGCCCAGGAGTTTGAGGTTGCTGTGAGCTAGACTGACGCCACAGCACTCACTCTAGCCTGGGCAACAAAGTGAGACTGCCTCAAAAGAAAAAAAAAAATTAATTAAATAAATAAATAAAGGGCAAATAGATTACCCTGCTTTAAATTACAGCCTTGGTTTTTCTGCAGAGCATGCCAGCCCCAATGCCAGTTGTGCTATGGATCCCATGTTTCTATCCAGATAATAAGTTATCACTAACCTCCAGCTTACTCAAAATCTAGGTTATATTGAAATGAGGTCAGAAATAAACAGATAAATTATTTCAGAACTTGAGATGAGAAGCTATAAGCCAATTACCAACTTCTTTGTTTGCTAGTCTCAGCAATACTTGTCATAAAATTTTACAAGTGCCATAAAATTTTGTCTTGCAGGGTGGAACAACTAGCTGAATAATGTTTGATTATCACAAGCATCAGGGAAAAAAGCTGAGCGTGATTGATTTGAAAAGGAAAAAAAGGGTAGCAACAGGAAAAAAATGAAAATGGTGCTTTTTTGTAGGTGTTCTTTTTTGTAATTGAACAACTTTAGACTACATTTAGTCAGATATTGAGGCATCTACTGAGAACTTATCATTAACTAACAAAGGATAAAATATCATGCTTTATTTCTTATAATTCCTTATAATGAAAGTGATCACTACCTCATAATCACAATTTACCTGATAAATACTCATTTTTCTTACCTTGTGTCCTTGTCTTCCTGGTTCACCAATTTCTCCTTTAGCCCCTTTATGACCCTAAGAAATACAAAAATAAATATACATATTTATAGATATAAAATTGTCAGGTTTGCCACAGAAGGTTGTCAGAAGGCTCACAAAGTGATCCTGCTACCCCTTAAATTGGTATCAATGTGCTACTAAGAAAAAGGTTATGTCACAGAGAAAATTACTGCCTAAACGACCTTAATAGCACTGCGTGTGTTATATGACTGCTGTATGTATAATATTATGTGCAAAGGCAAAGCAATAAAAGGCAGTAAGTGAAAGCTGCATAGCATGAGAAGATGACCTATATCTTTTCTTGTCAGGCCACCAGTAACATGAGGCAAACTGTGAGACAAACACTCCAAAATTAAGTCTGTCAGAACTTTTACCCCTCAAAAGTCTTTTTGAAAAATAAGACACCAGTCCAGGCTTAGATCTTCTGCAATTGAGGGAACCCAGCAAAACTACCCTTAGACTATAAGTTTTTATTTTTACCTGTTACTTTTTTTTTTATTTCAGCATATTATGGAGGTACAAATGTTAATAAATAGTAGCTATTTAAAAAAAGAAAAAAAAAAAAACTACCCTTAGAGAAACGCTATGGAACAGTAGTGCCTGGGGGCCTTTCGGATCATTGCAGAACTCCACTGGTCTGGACTTTCTCAATGTCACTTCAGATTCCGAGACCAGAAAAAGAGAAAGCTATTTATCCCCAGCATTCGGTATTTATTTTTTGTTTTTATGGAAAATTTTGAAGTAATTATGATGGCAGAATGAGAGAAAATTGCTTTTGGAAAGTCTCTCTTTTTCCTGACTATTTTGTACAGTTTTTCCAATTTTTTATTTAACTAAAACAGTTTCAAATATATTATGTACACAATACCCTCCCACACACAGCACCCCCACCACTCTCTCCCTTCATAGGAGGCAAAATTCTGAACCTTGACTTGGTGTTCTAGAGTCTCTCTATCCAATGTGTTTTATTGGTACATCTTCCCTGGACTACAAAGGCCATTATGTATAATTAAACATCAGTGTCTCAGTAGGAGTATCTGTCAGGGGCACCAGCAGAATTTCTAGGACTATATAAGCACCACAGAACAAGCCACAGAGAAAGCAAACACAGCCTTGCCTCTAAGACCCAAGTGGGGGCTCCGTACCAGGAGGGCCAATGAGTAAATAAAAGGCTTTACTTTATGTAATATTCTAGAAAATAAAATGCTAAAATTATTCTCTTACCCTCATTCCTGGTAGGCCTGGATATCCTGAGCGGCCTGGTGGACAGGAATTGGGACACTGCCAGAGAGAGAGGGGGAAAGAAAAAGAAAGCAGTGTGTAAACTCAGCCCCTACTTTGTGAGATAGTATTTCTTTTTTGGAAGGGGGGATTCCAGCTACTGAACCCCACTGCAATTATATTCATTAAATGACTCTAAATACTCCTTTCCTTTTTATCATTTCATTTTTAGACTCCGAAATACTTCTAGCTGACAGAAAAGTATATATAACAAATACCCTCCTCCATGTATCTACCATCCAGAGTTAATAAATGTTAACATTTTACCACATTTCAGATTTCATTTATTAAGGAAACAAAATGTTCACATTCAACCTATTGTACCAGGACCTGATCCATTTCCCCTCCCCACTTCCACTGGAATAGCTCCGTCCTGAGGTTCATATCTCCTCATCAAATGGGCCATTGCGTTTAGTGCAGTTTACCATTATCTGACTATTAACCTACAAGTAAAACAAAGCTTAGAGTGAGTTATTTGACTTCTATCTCTCTAAAATTGGAGTGTGGTAGGGAAAAGCATGCCTTAATCTGTAAAGTAAAAATATTATATAAAAACAAAGATACTTCTATAATGAAAAACTGTTATAGTCTGAGTATATACAAGGCACCAGTCCATTAGAGTTACAGATTGCTCTGCCACTGGAATAAAAGTAAAACACAGAAACCCGGTATCTTCCAAAGGGATCTGTTAAAGAGAATTCATCTGAAGACTACATGGTCTTTGATTTGAAACCATATTTTGTTCAAAGGAAAACATCTTACCAGTGGATCTCCATCATGAAAGCCAATTGCTCCCTAAAGTAAATAAAATATTAACATTCAGAATAATTAATTAAAACCTACTAATAATAGAAAGATCATTGGGCAAAAATATAATTGTTTAATAATTTATAATGAGCAAATTGTATATAATATGCTAATATTCTAACACCATGACTCATGAGCATATTCTTTTTAGAGAACCCTAAATTACAGTATATTATTTCTTCTGGGGGATTGAAGGGAGATAAGAGGCCAAATAGAAAATATGGAGAACTCTGAATCATAAATTAAAAATATGAATTATTTCCTCTTTAAACTCCTATTTTTAAGATTACTGTAAAAACTTGTATAAAAACTAGTTCATTTGAAAATACTTCTTCTATATGTCAATGTTTTGTGCATTTGAGATATCAAAAGTGTCAAAGAACTTTAAATGTACTTTGTAAGACTTGCCCTGTAAAAACCACCTATTATTGTGATCCTCTACTTTCTAGCCTAAAAAGAACCATGCTCTGAATGAATGAAAACGTGGTAGCCATTTTGGAAAGTTGAAACAATGACGGGATTAACAGGCATTTCTATTTTTGATTTTTATATGCTTTTTTCAATCCCAACTCTTAGACACAAAGAGAAATTCAAACTGCAAATAACTTACACTGGGTCCTGGGGGGCCGGGGGGCCCAGGTGGTCCTCTTCTCCCAGGGTCACCCTAAGTAATTTGAAATTTGTGACACAGTTGTTATACATGTGTCAAAACACAGCACATAAAACTGGTGAGGCATGAGAGGAATGGTATTACTAGAAACCCCTACTGAGCTCAGCCATGCATAGACCTGCCATCAAAATCGATGGGTGGCCCATAATCCAATTAGTTCTACAAAACCAGAATAATAAAGGCATTCCAATCTCACCAAGGTAATAAAATTAGACAGAGGGAGGCAAGAGGGGAAAAAGCAAAGTCAATTCTTCTCTATAGGATGATCACTTTACCTACTCTGAAAAATAACTGGAAACACTATTTATTTTTCTAGTTGATTTACAGAGGAACCAGAGCAGCCAATACTGCCAGTGCCATCCAGCTAATTAGAGCCAAAGAAGGCTTGCACTCAGCCTGAAGCTATGGAATGGAAGGTTAACCTCTGCAGTGCCTGACTCTTGTTGGTGCTGTTCACCCACAATCTATCACTTGGTCTGTCACTGTACTCTCTTGCATTGGGTCAGAAAATCAAAGAAGGCTACATTCAAATAAGTCATTCAGATGAAAATGGGTTCCAATTATGCTTATCATCCAATGCTTATTCTTGGTATATTTTCCTCTTAATGTTCTACTGTAAAAAGTCAAAAGCATCTTAGAATTATTTTAACTTTGCAATCATTTCATATTTATGTTCATTTGTTCAGTAACTAAATTTATAATATGTGGCTCCTTCCCTCAATGAGTTTACAATTACCTACCTTTACATAATATCACTACTTCAACAACATTTTTGAAATGTTTACTGAATATCAACATGAAACATTTTTTATCAGCAATTTATTTTATGAAGTCCAGCTTTTTAACATTAAAAGTTAAATTCTGTTGGTTCAATTATAATTTAATGATCCTAACATAAATATACATGGTAATAGTTATACTCTTCCCTTTGTACTTCATGAAAAGTCTAATACAAAAGCCACTGGACCCCAATCCTGGCTGAGAACCTATAAGATGGAAAAGACACACCCTTACTTGACACTCAATCTGGAAGTTGGGAGGAAAAGTTTACCTGAAAATATTAGGAAAAAATTAAAATCACTCTACAAAAATGATTATCCCTGGGTCCTATCAATATTATAAACACAATTCATCTGCCATTTTTTATTTGCAAGTGAAAGCATACAGTTGGGGTAATTTGCCTTTCCTAGTAACACTTTCTATTAAATAAGCAAATGTCTACCAGAATGCTCTGTGGTACTCACAACAGTTCCTACACGGCCAAGCTCTCCAGGGAGTCCTGCTGTCCCAGGAGGCCCCTAAAGTCAACAAATCAAAGCAACATGGTGATTTATGGATATTTTTATAATCTATCATAAATGTATCAAATATGGTAAGTAGCAAATTTAGAATTCTGTATCTGTGTTAGCTTTGGTTTCCAACGAGACAATAATTCATTTGACCAAATTTAATTAAGATGGAACAGAAATTTCCTCAATTAACATTTAGCAGGATAGGTACCTAAAATCATGCAGGTAGAACACTATAAACACCACTGGGTAGTGTGTTAGTTGGAGAATAAGGTGGGGATTTGAGAAATAGGACATTTTTATAGGCTGCGTAAAAATAAATGATGCCATGAGACTTACAGGGGGTCCAGGAATACCACGACCCTAAAAGATTAAAATAAAAATGTTTATGGTATATGGTTTATACTTAGTATAACTATGAACAGATATAACTCAGTTTAAAAATAAATCATAAATTCTATAACTAAATAAATATATGATGTTCATTCTAAAAGCACTGGATAAAGAAAAGCAAACATGGCTCTGCTTCTAAAGGAAGAAGCAGCTTATTTCAGCTCTTCAAACATTCCTTTGGTGTCTATGCTAATAGTAATATTTTTCCAAACTTTTTAAAAAGAAAATCAAAGTATAGAAGCCTTCTATGCTTGCCCTCAAGAGAACTTACCATCACTCACAAAGAGGCACATCACAACCAGAAAGATTTTATTCATTTGTACTATTTTATATGTAACCCGCATTACAAGCATTATAGTTTTATAATTTACATAAAATGGTGTTTAGAAGTTTCCTAAACAAACATTCAACACAGACAATCAGGGGAGAAAAGGGACAGAAACACACCTCCCTTTTGACAGGTAGGGGCTATATTTCCATAGATATTGAACATAAAATGGTGTTCCTCTTGAAGTAACCTACAATGGGACCCTATTTTAATATGCTAAATTTGACATTAAAGCTAGTCATTCTATCTCCCTTTCCTTTACACTTTCTCTCTAGCAGCACCAAACTGCATATAAGCAAGAATTAAAAACTTTATCTTATTCATCTTCCTAATCCTAATTCGTAGCATAGTGCCTGGTCTATATTAAACTCTAACAATGTGCTTGTTGAACTTAAAACTGGACATCAGCTGCCCAGAATCCCTATTTTCTCTCTCTTTGCTTTCCAAGTTCTTTTTCTTCCCCTTAGGATTTCTCATTTTTCTTTCTTCTACTTCCTTGGCTTGAATAGCTTTTATTCACAGCTGTCTGTGATACCATGTTTATGTTAGCTTTTCATTCCAGCCCTTTCTAAAATATTCATATATAAAACATCCCATGGAATCAATATACACCCTCTGATGATGATGATATTTCTAATTCTTCAGGCAGCCAAAACAAGCAAAAACTTCACATGTGTGTTAATATTAAATGAGACTTTTTAAAGGCTTTCTTTGAAAAATTACTCCTATTTGAACATTTTAATACATAGATCAATTTGGGAAACAGATGTTATGCTTAAAAATACTAATCAATAAGTCATTATCAGAGACCTAGATGTTTGACAAATTTCACTGAACAAAAAAGGGCATCTCTATAAGATGTTGAGATTGAGATCTGAGTTGAAAAATATGGGAGAAAAGCCAGCAAGCTATTCACTTCTGAAAATAGTTTTTATAATGGAAAAGCTGACAGATGCTGAAATATGGCAAAGAAAATGGCACAAACAGGAAAAAAGGAGGAAAAATACAGATTAATGACAAAGAGCAAAAGAGGAAAAAAGAAAAATGGAAAGGAAAAGCAGCATGAGAACCTAGTCCTCTTATGTATACAAATAACACACATCCACCAGATTGTGCAATGTAGGAAAAGACCAGCCAGGGAATCAAGTGAGTGGTAATATCTGATTAGCTGATATTTCATTAGAGATAAAACCAGCAGTTGTAAAGAAAATGGTGTGAAGCCATGGTGTAAACACTGAATACTTAGATTTGCTATTATTATGCAAGAAATGTTTTCTATCATTTGGGAGTAGAGAGGGAGTTGTTTATTGGGAAACACCACCTGTAAATAGACATACGTATATTATACTGCACATTCAAATTTCTGTAAAACTTTTCTACTCACAGTACAAATGCTTACCATACCATAGAAAGCATAAACTCCTTTGTCACGTATATTTTGTAGAAAACTGCATTTAAGAATTCCACAATGGCAGAATTTTGCCTAAAGATAAAAGATTTTCAATTCTTTTGCTTTACATTTACTTACTGGAAATCCACGAGGTCCAGGTACACCAGGTTCTCCCTAAAAATAAAAATAGTTTTGTTGTACTGAGATTTTTGTAGCTAGAATATGAAAATTGTACAAATGTTGGAATCATTAAAACACTCCATCTTGGTGTTTTTAAACAATTTTAGTCAAACAATTGTATTTCAGCTACTCCATAACTTCATGTTAGTTGATTTGCAAACACTACAATAAAATTCTACTTTAGCATTTAATTAATACCAGCAATTAATAACAGGAGGATAACTTACTTTTTGTCCCCTTGGTCCAACGGAGCCAGGGGATCCATCAGGTCCTGTTAATCCCTAACAAAGCAAGATAATGATGTTAGAATATCATAACATCCTTAGGCAAACCACTAGGTGGAACACTTTCATTTTATGTATTAATTATCTACAGATGATTACATATGATGGAAGTATTTATAAAAAAAACTTCCTATATTCTTACTCAAAGGTAAAGATTAATATGGGATCTGCCTGCTAGTTATTTTTATTGATAAATTGTATCATGTTCCTAACTTCCTGCTAACTGCACTGTTTATCATAGGATTCAATAATTTAGTGATTTTTGTCTCTGCTTTGAAAAAAATGCAACAGAACAATGATAATGTTCTAATAGCTAAGACTGACAGGTCTTGGCTCTGCCATTTATTCAAATTTGTACACCTCCTTTACTTCATTTATAAAATAAAAATACCATGTGTCTCTCTAACTATAGTACAAGACAGTGTCCTGTCTTGAAAGTTAATGTTTCTTTAGTAGGAATTAAATACAGTCTAATTATTGCCTTATAACCACTAATAGCCCTCTACCTATCTTCTAGCAATGACAATTGCTTATTGTACATTAATTTTTAATGTTGAAACGTTTGAGAGCATACATGTTTCTATATAATTTTCCTTGGTAAAAATAGCTATGATTAAACATATTGTTGTATGCCACTCAGTATATAGAATTTAAGTCTATTAAAAACATAACTATCATATTTAATATTAAAGAAGCTATTAAATACATATTCTAAACGTTCTAATTTTTTCTACTAGGACTTATTTTATCATCAATATAAAATATGCATTAAAGCATGATAATACTATATGTACACCTAAATTTCCATATTTGGTAAAGATGCGTTTCTATTTTTAAATGTTTTCTTTGGTCTTTGACACTTTCAGATGTAAATTACAATGTAATCTTGAAATTATACCTTCCTAAAGATTAATATATGTGTTTATATATGCATATGTATGTGTACATTTATATACATTCATGTATAAATATCTTATAAACCCATTATCAAGATTTTCAAAAAGACCAAAACAATATCTTATAAAACCTATTATCAAGATTTTCAAAAAGACAAAAACAATATTGAAAATATGAAATCCCTACTTAAAAACAGATCACCAAAATTCATATTTAGACTGTCAAAGTCTGCATAAATATCAATAAAATGCTTTCATGTGACTCATAGAAAACCAGTTCATTGATCATCATTTTTACATTTCTCTGCATCAATCAATTTCCCTAGAAACTTCAGAGTGAATCAAAGGAAGTATAAAAAATGTTAATTACTGGAAATTTACCAAAGAAGAAAAATATTAAACATACACAAAAGAATTTTTGACTGTCTTTGATTTTCAATAGGCCTACTCTAATTACAACATCGTAATTTGGGAACAAGCTTCAACAGGGTTAGTTAAGCACCTATGGTAATGGAATGTTTGTTTTCATGTATCAGCAAACAAACCATACATCCAGGAGCACTCTCTGGAGGGACATATGGCACATAAATTTTATAAACCTCAGGGCATATTTAACTAATGTATCCTCTAACTCCCACTTAATGCCTAAATCCTCCAACCAATCCTGGTCAATTTCCACACACACAATCAACTCACCTTCTTCAATATGTGATTGAAATAACTGATAAGATTAGAAGATAGTAACAACTATATATAATAGAATTTCAGCTGCAACATAATAAAGCAGAACCGAGTAGATAGTTGGATAACCTGGAGGCTGTTCCAAGTCACTTTATATTTAAAATATCCTCAATAAGACATGATGATGAACTATGTCTGTCACTGGGAAGTTCTTTTAAGTAAGCTGAAAATGGATCCTGGTATCAGATATAGCAGTGAAATATCATAAAATATGTAGAAAAACATAAGCTCCACAGGGACAAAGACCACATGTCCATGACAGCCCTAGCACGTTGTCCCTAACATCAAACAAATACTCAATACGTCATTACTGAATAAAATTAATTTAAGTTAGCCTTTTAGGTGGAAGGCTATCACACTTGGCCCTTCACACATCTTTATTTTTGGCTGAAATCCTGACCCTGCCAACTTAGTAGCCGTGCAACAGTGCACAAATTGCTTAACCGTGCAGTGTTCTAGATGCTGTTCCTCATTAAGGCCCTACAAATAAAGAAAAACATCTAGATATTAACCAGGGCACTGTACTTGTTGGCCTCCCTACACTTCTTCAATGCCTAACTATTTCCACCTACACTGACCTTTCTGAATAATTTTGTAATAGCTCATATCCTACTCACGTAACATTTGCCAGGGATAATAGTTGTATGTTTTCAGAGGATACAAAGCCTCTAACCTTTTTCCTATGAAAATGTAGCATGGTTTAACTATAACTCCTATACTTAATTCTAATTCCTCTTTTAGCTGATATAGAAAGTATAAGAAAGAATACTGTTTTAAAGAGCTCTCTGAGCATGTCACAACAAATAGTTATAAGAATATCACTATTGATATCATTGATGATAACACAGTTGTCCTTTGGGTGTTATGAATCGATCTCTGACTTCTCTAATTTTACATGTCCATAAAGAAGAATCAACTAAAACTAAAAATAAAAAATAAAAAAAATAAAAGAACAAAAAGAAAAAAGTAGAGAAAGATTTGAAATACACAATTTTCAAAATTCAATTTGCAAATAAAACTCTCTAATTCTTATTTCAAAGAAATGACAGAGGAAAATATTAGCAGTGGCAGAAAGAATTTACTTCCTATGAATGTTTATGCAGACAAAGTTCTACACAGGAAGATACTGAAGCTGACTGTGTCCGGAACTTTCACACTGCTGCTTGGCAGAGAACACCAGTCCTCAGCGGCGATTTCCTTACAGCATTCCAACAGCTCAGCTGTCAAGACTTAGAGCATACTCAGAAAGGATAGCTGCTATGACTCTTACCTTTACTGCCAAAAATCCATTTAATGTAATTCTTCCAAATTTCATCCAACTAACCATTTTTGAACACTACCAAAAAATAAGCCTTGCAGTGAACGAAAGAGAAGACAAAGAGAGTAAAGGTTTAAAGTCCTACCACTACACTCACGTTTCACTACCAAGAAAGGACTATTGAAGGTTTCCTACTTATTTAGCTCCCCTATGGCCAGGGACAAACAGACAGCAAACTCTGACCTAGTTATTGTATTTCATTATTCTCAAAAAGTAAAAGATTTTTTTTAAATGTCAAATTAATCCAGGAGTGAAATAAGAAAACCTTTCAATTCCAGAAGTCCCATGTGGCTCCAATTCAAAAATTGAAGGATTTATAAATACATCAATATTTACAAATAATTATAAAATATCAATTATAAATGTTTTATTATCCATTGAATTATCCATATTCTTCTTCTTGGTTGGCAACTTCAGGACTAAAAATTCACTAACATTTCTTATGTCTATTCTCTCCAATTATTCATCTATTAAGAATCTTATTGTATCTGCATGAGGTGGAGTTACCTGGGGAGTCTGGAAATCAAGGATCTCTATTCTTTTGCTATCTTAGCAACTAAATAACCCTGGGTGTCTGGGGTAACCACTTGTCCTCATAATTATTGGATTTTCCTATTTGCGGAAAATAATATTAGACCAATCTACTTTCCAGGTTATTAAAAGGTTAAAGAAAATATTTGTGATAGTGCTTGAGGAAAAAGTTCACACATATGCAAATAGCATAGTTAATTTTTCCCTTAGATCTAAGAAGTATGTCAAATACTGGCACATACATGAATTTCCTCCTTTTTTTCTCTCTTGCTCTCTCTTTCTTTTGCTTTCCTCCTCTATCCCAGGAGTCTGACTCATCTCTTTCTCCCTGAGGCCTTCAAGATCCAAGTTCTATGATCTAAGAAGACTTACTCTTTCAGATCTTTTAATATTTGAACTCTGGTTTGTGCTGCACTATGAGACTGTAAATATAGGACAAAAAAAATTACTTGAAATTGTTCTTTCATTGTGCTTCTAAAAATTTCAAAGGACTTTCATTTGTTTATCCAAAATTTCTGTTAAAGTGGGAAACTATAAGGAAAAACCAAGGATTCTCTTTATGACATAGGAGTATATGGTAAAGAAGAATTTGTTGGACAAGCTACAAAAGCACTATTAAACTGAGGGACAGATAAGTCTAGTCCTCTGTCTATTATATTGCAACTCAATAGCAAGATAGGACTTCATTTTCCATTTTCTTTTTTTTTTCTTTTTCTTTTTTCTGAGACAGAGTCTCACTCTGTTACCCAGGCTAGAGTGCTGTGGTGTCAGCCTAGCTCACAGCAACCTCAAACACCTGGGCTCAAGCAATCCTCCTGCCTCAGCCTCCCAAGTAGCTGGGACTACAGCATGGGCCACCATCCCCGGCCAATTTTTTCTATATATTTTTTAGTTGTCCAGCTAATTTTCTTTCTATTTTTAGTAGAGGCCAAGTCTCAGTCTTGCTCAGGCTGATCTCGAACCCCTGAGCTCAAATGACCCACCTGCCTCAGCCTCCCAGAGTGCTAGGATTACAGGTGTGAGCCACTATGCCAGGCCTAAGATACGACTTCAGATGACCAGTTTATCCTTCAATTACAAAAAAATTTTTTAATTTAATCAGAAATTTTCTTTTCACCCAAAAGCCTACTTGAAATTTCAAAAGAATATAGAAATATCAAATGCAGTGGCTTCAAAAAAAAAAAGAACAAAACAAACAAGAGAATAAAGAAATGAAAAATTAAAAAAATATATATAGAAATAAATCCAACCTGCATTGGTCTACTAGTTTATTTAGTGGCCTTACCTTTATCAGACTTTTATGATGGTATGACAAAGCCAAGTAATTCTCAATGTTTCAGAGAAGAGCTTGACAGCCAGCAAGTTATATAATTTTAGTTTGTCTTACTTAAATATTACTTTGATATTCAGTTTGTGTTATCCAAATATTAGTCTTTAGGTACACTTCATGCCCTGCCACTTTGCATACATAGAAAGTTAACTACAGGCTTTGAAATAAAAAACAAAGTCTATCTCCTAAAGCACTAAGTAGTACAGAGAAATACCTTCGTTACGGTAATCTTGACACAGAAACCATTTCTTAATAACAGCTAAAACGGAGCTACTTAGTTTTGTCTCAAAATAAAGAATCTGTCTTAAACTCTAGTCAAAAATTCCTGGAATTATAAATGTAGATTTTCAGGTGCTTTCTTTCATTTAGAAAAGTCTTTAGTTTTTGGAAAACACATAAGAGTGGTAACTTGAAGGATAACTTAAGGAACGCACCATGACATGTTCTCCAAGAACAGATGGCATTTTCTTACTTAGGTTTGTCTTGCACAGACAAAATTAAGGTGGTCTTGGTGGGATCTCATTAAGTATTAGTAGAATGCATGGAAAGAGAAGTTGAGCATCCTGGAGTTCTTATTCTGAAGAAATATTATTTAGCATTTAGTTCATCATATAAACTCAGCATCTGAACTTTCTTTAGATGGGGACAGGAGGTAAATGGAAAAAAGGTTGCTGGATCCCAATCTTCAAGCAACCCTAGAGCCAGCTCATTTCTGTCAGTAATGCCAGTCAGAAAAAAATACCACAGAAAGAGGAAAAACTAGTTCTGAATTTTCTATTCAAGGTGTGTTGACCATTTCCTTGTTCCTACCCTATTCACCACCATTCTCCTACTTCCTTCAAGCACATCTCTCTTTTTATAATCCTTGGAATTTAGGAGTGCTCTGCCCCTTGCCCTGCCTGCAGCTTCTTTTTCTAAATTGACCCAGAGAGTGCTAGTGTTGAAAGGGACAGCTGTGAGCCCCAGCTCCAGCCAAGGCCAGGACAACCCCACCCCACAACTTCTAACCCCCAGTGCCAGCAGTGGGGCTGAGAGTTTGGTGGGGGCCCCTGGAAGGAGCAAGGAGTTGACTGTTAGAGACAGGAAGCCCATACCTCTGCTACTTTCCAGAGGAGAAAATGCCAGCGCAGTATGCTAGCCCCAGGAAGCCTTGAGGTAGAGGTATCTTCACTTTTGATGGCCTCTTTGCATAAGCTGCCAGCTCCACCACCAGGCAGTCAGGAGCTCTCTCAAGGCCAGTTCAGGGGCACAGGGAGTTCTCTTCCTCCCTCCCTTTCTCCCTTCGTTCCTCCTCACCCTCTCACCCCCGCGCACACACACACACAGATCACACACCCCCCAGGCACCCGCCTACTCACGTCAGCTCCGGGTGTGCCGGGCTTGCCCGGAGCGCCTGGCTTTCCCGGCTCTCCCGCGGGACCCTGGGCAGTGAGGTGAGGGGTAGGGGACCAGGCACAGAGAGAAAAACGTGCAAAGTTGAGACCTTTCAAACACATGTTGCTGCAAAACACGTCTAAGGGAAGGAAGTGGACCACCACCACCCCCCCATAACTTACCTGGGGACCTGGGGGACCCTTTGGGCCTCGGTCACCCTGGAGGGATGGAAGGAGAACACAGTCTTGAGTGCGAGACACTGGGAACCAACCCCCCCTCCACCCAGGACAATCCCATGTGGGATCACCATGCGGATCCCATCGGAACAGGGTAAAGGCCGAAAGCTGGAGGTTCATGACCAAGAGGGACAAGTCTACTTCCCCCTCCCCCAAATTCCCAGGCTCCTAGGATCCCACCAATTCTCACCCATGTCCAATCCTACCTTTAAGGGGGGTGGGGGTGGGAATGAGGGACCCTGACCCTCTCTAAAATCCCATAGGAGCTGCGGGGGGGAGGGGGGGAGGGGGGCACCTGGAGATAGAAACTTACATCAATGCCATCAATGCCCGGAACCCCGGGGGGCCCTGGAGGCCCAGGGGGACCCTGCTCGCCAGGGGGACCTCTCTGGTAAAAACAGCAGACACAGATTAGTGGAACACGTTGGGAACAAGGAGCTACTTGGGCACAGTGTCTAGAGCCCCCGCCTCCGCCCTACAACAATACCTCCCAGCGGAGCCTGGGTTTTTGAAACGCTAATTAAAGTGTCTCAGGCTTCCTAGCAAGTGCAGTTTGGGCCCCGCCATACTCTGAATGAGGTAAACTGTGGGGTTAGAGCAGGATGGATGCCCCTAAGGTGGGGGGAGGCTTCACTGGGCCTCACCTGTACAGACTGCATTAAGCTGGAGAGGGGTTGTGAAAAAGGAGGGTCTGACAGCCTTTTTTTCCCCTCAAAGGGATTTAAAAATGAATATGGGGGGGTCATTCAATACCTCGATTTAATCAGTAACCGCAAGTGAATGTTTTGGCCAGAATGGAACAGCCAAGAATGGAGAGACTCCACACCAGATCGACACAGTGTCGCTGTCAATCTTTCCATGTCCAGTAGAAGGGGGAGGAGGGTATTCTTCAAAAGATTTGGGAGGGGCAGGACGGGACAGCTGTGAAAGCAGCACCCAGCCTCATTTCAGTTTTACCTGCAGTGACATTCCCTTACATGAGGTCTTTGCACCTCGCTTCAAAACTACACCAAATTTCAGACTGACCCTAGGCTTTGACCCTTTTTATCGCCTGCAAATAGCGACCCTTTGATGGTACCAGAGGTAGAGCTGGCCTCTGAAATACTATGAACATGTTGCTTAGGGAATGTGAGACCTTTTTTTCTTCTGATTTAAAAAAAGAAGAAGAAGAAAGACTCTTTCATCAAGGAAAACTTTGTTTTTCTAAACTCCAGCGACCAGACAGGTTACAATGGGGTCTTTGTAAGCGAAACCTCAAACCTCAGCTGGGCTTTTCCAGCCCCTGCCGGGTCCTCTCCAGCTTGGGAGGGAGGAGACACCAGAGCCTTTAGGAAGTTGCTGAAGTTTTGATGGGAGCCAGGGCTGCCCAGCTCCGATGCAGGAGCCGCCTGCACTGCTAGCAGGACACTCGGTTCAGTGCAGCCACCACAGGCGGCTGGAAGAACCAGCGGGCAAGGGAGCTTGCCTGCATTCCCGCCTTCTCCAGCAAGGCCTGCTCTAGACTGTGACCAGGAGGGGGGTCCGGGGGTGAGGGGAGTAAGAAGCAATCCAGGCTAAAAAATTAAGCCTCGGTCTCTAGTCACCTATTACCTTCAGCGCCAGAGACTGCAGTGTTAGGGCCCAGGTGGAGGAACAGGTGTCCTTTCCCAGACCAAAGTCACCTAGGGCCACCCCCCCCCCATTCCTACTGTACTAGCGGCAGGTGCTCATGGCTGAAGGTGACTCAGGTCGGAGAGCTCTGAGGATGCTCCGCGCCTTCCCCACAGCTCCCCCGACGGCTGCGCCCCAACCTTGCCTTGAAAAAACACAAACACTTGTGTGCGCTTGAAAAATGCAAACACTTCTCGCCCCCCAGCTTACCTCGTCGGTGGTCTGGCTGGGCTGGAGAAGAAAAGATGGGGAGAAAGTGAGAAAGCGACGTTCAAACTCCCGCACAACTTACTTGAGCCGCACACAAGCAGAGCCCCGACAGCAGCAGCCCGAGGGCCCCGCGGTTGCGCGCCGTCCAGGTCATGCCCGCAGCCCTCGGCTAAGCCCCTGGCCGGGCTCTGCCGCCTGTCGCCCCGCGAAGCTCCCGGACTCGCATAAAACGGCACTTGGACCCGCAAAAAAGAGCCCCAGGGAATAGCGTTTGCAAAGGTTCCGGGCCTAGGAGGAGGCGTATGTTCCCCCTGTTTATGAATGGCCCTGGAGAGGGTCCCGGGGATTGGAGGAGAGCTAGCGGGCCAGGGAGGAAGGATAGAATGACAACAGTCTCCCTTAACCCTTTCCCGGCAGCAGCACAGGCGAGGCCTGAACCAGTAAGTAGCTCTGCCTGCGCCCCACCTGCCCCGACGCAGCAGCCTCTGGTTGTCCCCAGAGCCTGCCAGCGCGGCCCGTGCCACTATCCGTGAGTAGATTTTCAAGTGTTCTGGAAGAGTTGTTTGAGAGTGGGAAAATAAGAGAGAGTCAGACTCCCGGAGGTGGTTTCTAGCAGCCAGGTTGCCAGTAGAACCTGTGCTTCCTTAACACTGGTTTGGTCAATGCAGCAAAGCACAAGACTCTTTAGGGAAAGAAGGTGGGGAGGTTGATGAGAGGGAAAAGGATGAGCTGGGCAGAAGTAGCCTTTTGCGGGTAGTCAAAGGACTCACCGTTATTCTGGCTGGCAGCTCATGGCAAGTTTCTCTCCTGGGTCTCAGGGGGTCGCAGTGAATCAGCATCCATTGAAGTTCAAACTGGAGAAAGGTAGCAAGACAGTCAGTTAAGGCTCTTTTGGAAGACAGAAGCTGGTCATTTAAGAGAGAGATGAATTTGTGTGATTGGAAGACCAGCTGGAACCGAGTGAGCTCATTGGACCAAGACTCTTGCTTTTCTTTGAAAGCAATTTACTAATGGAAATGGACTGGAAGCCCTTCCCAAGTTTCTCTGATAATTGGATGTAGATGTCTTTAGCTTTGAATTACTCCATCATAGATAGCCCTAGCCAGGAAAACAGACCACCCACCGGCACTAATTTTCTATTTCTATTCTCACCACAATCTCAACAGGTAGATCCTATCAAACCAAGGTTCAGAGAGAACAAGGAACTGTCCAAGTCACAAGCCAGTAAGTGTCAAAGTCCGGGTCGAAACCCAGGCCTATTGAACTCCACAGGGAACATATGCGCTAAGATTTTAGATGGGCGATCAAAGACAGAGACAGCAAAAATGTGGCAACCAGGAAGACAAGTAGAAGAAAGAAAATCCAGACCTGGAAAAAAAAATTGTATGCTAGAGGAGACATTCTCCATGGAGGAGTCACTGCTTAAAACAGAAAGAGGAAAGATCCAAGGTGAAGAAAATTAAAGGGAAATGTAAGAGTGGAGGAGAGATTAAAATTTTTTTAAATTTGTATAATTTTACTCATTGGTTGAAAAGATAAAAATTTCTAGACACTCGAAATCCAAATGTATCCTGATAACTTCTTACATTTTTAGCAAGTGTTAAGGAAGAAAGAAGACACAGGAAAGGAACAGAGCAAGGGATGAGTTGCTCAGTCTGAATCTGAAAAGAGCCTCAGGCAACAAGGCAAAAAATAAAATAAAAATGTTATATCCCGCAGGAAGCCTGAAGCCATGTTCCATTTCTTGCTAGACACTCCCAATTGGATCCATATTTCTTGATCAGTAGATTCTACTGGCATCATGCAAATGTCTTGCCAAGAATCCAGGCCCCACATCTAAATATTACCCCTTTTAGTTAATCCGATAGTGATTTTCATTCCACCCCACCTGCCAAATGGATTCTAGATCTGCTGAATCTAGAATGAAGTAAGATATGTTTTTTTTCCTACTGTTTTGGAATCATCCAGAGTTGAGGTTACTGAATGGAAGATCAAAATTGGAGATGATGAAGTCCTTCCCTTCTACTCACAGAAAAAAGGGGAAGTTAGACAAAAGGAAGTTTTGTCTAACCAGAAAACCTATATTCTTTGTTTACATAGTCCATTAAAGTTCCTCGTTGCAAATGCGAGGTAATTCATTAAGCTGTTTTCTCAAAAATGTAATTTTCTCTTGATAAATTGGTACACCTGTTTAAATATGTGAGCTGCAATTGTGGCATGGGATAATGGGGGAATGGAAGGTAATTCATCTGTGAATACAGGCTGGGTTGTTCAGAGTGCCACATAGATCAAGGGTTTCTGAACACATCTGCGCATCCACATAAACACCACCTACGCACTAATAATCATCTATACAACAACCATTTTTTGGCATGCAATATAAATTCCAATTTGCATGCTAATTATTTTTGAAGGAAGATTGGCAGAGTGCCTTGGTAAAAGTCACTTTCATTATATATCTAAAATGCTGATTTCCACACGTTTCTCATTTTTATACCTGAAATCATTTGTCTCTTTGACTACTCACTGACAAAATATATGTGACAAATATTTTAATTTAGTCCTTCAGTCAACATTTTCAAAGTCCTAATATAGGCCAAGTGCTAAGGAAACACTCTAGGAAAAGCAAAGATAATTCCCCTTCCCACAATGAGTTTATAATTTGTAACACTTGAGAAAAATACAAGTAGAGAAATAAGAAGAGGTTTTTTTTTTTTTTAGTCTACAAAGTAGAACATAAAATGCCCTAGAAAAATTCATCCTTCTCAACATAAAATAATTCTCCACTGTTTCAAAGAAAACTGAGTGGTGTGAGTACAAGGTGCCCTGATATCTGCCCAGATTTGGCGTTAGTCAGTTCTTTTCTATAGGACTGTTGTCATTGATATTAAGGTATAAGTCCATTCTTGAGAATAGAGTGATGTCCAGCTGACAACACACTTAAGCAAGGAATTTTGGCCCCAACTCTTTATTCTTTTAATAGGGTTAGTGATTTCTACTTATTTTGCTAGGTTGTTAGGAAAGATTAATATGATGTTTAAGCCCTTCATAAGAACCAAACAAAAACTAACTGCAGACAACTACTTTTTCCTCCTGAGTTTTTAATGACAAACCATGAAACGTGGCTCAATGTTAATGAGATTGACACGAGGCTTGATTTTTGCAAACTGAATTATGATTAAGTTTTACAAACACAAAACATCTACAAACTAGCTCTTTAAAGATAGATTTGTTTTAATAAGACAGATGTTTCAAACTGAATTATGATCAAATTTTACAAACACAAAACATCTGCAAACTAGCTCTTTAAAGAGAGATTTTTTAATAAGACAGATGTTTCATTAAGTTTTTGTCTTCAGTGGCACCAAAGATTTAAAGATATATTTGAATTCTCAGATTTCAAACTTCCTTTCAGTTTATGACAAAATGTTGGTTTCTACCATAACAGAAGCTCTCCTCCAAGTGAAGCTTCCTGGTTACTGAGCAGAAGGCTCTGAGCTGCCTCAAAATGAGAAATTTCCCAAACTCTATGTAGACGAAGCCATGCAGTTCCAGACATAGTGCTAGGGATGTAGTTACGTGGGCAGCACTCATCTGTATCATACCACAGGCTGCAGCAGAATGGTGAAAGGAAACAGCAGTAGATTTGGAGTTAGCAGACCTGGCATATAACCATTTATTTTTTCAACATATTTTTATATAACACATTTATGTGTGCTTTGAGGTAGACACTATGAAAGACACAAATATGTCTAGTATATAAGGCAGTATCTAAGCCAAAAAATGCTTTTGATGATAAATACTATAGAAGTTGAGGTGACAAGAAATATTTTTCTGGCTAAGGTCATCAATGAAAAGATCAGATAACATGTAACATGTGAGTGGAGCCCTAGAGCACCCCTCTCTCCAAAGCCCCACTTCTGCCTTCATGAGCAGAGACGGGGAGTGTGAGGGTTAAGGTTCTGAACAGAGCGGGCAATAGCAACAGGGCACAAAAGTGGGAAGTGGTAAATAAAGAAGAGACCAGATTCACTGGTACAGAGTAGATATCAGATTTTTTTCGATCTTGAATTCTAAGCTAAGGAATTTGGGTAGCATCGTGTAGATTACTATTGAATTGCCATTAAAAGAATTTTTGCAAGGGATGGAGATGGGGAAAGGTGACCTGATGTTGAAGCCATCCACGGAGATTCATTTGGTCATAAATGCCTGATGCTTTGAGTCAGAAGGAGGCCAGTGTGGCAAAACATGGAGTGTTGCACTCTGAACTATGGTGAGGTCTCCTGAGTTATCTGCCAGTTAAAATAAAACCCTCCCTTCATTTTACATCCCTCTTCAGCTGCCATCCTGTTGTCTATTCCCCTTTATACGAAACTCAAATGAGTTGTCTATATTCATTGTCTCTAATTCCTCTTCTCATTTTCTCGTGAACCCTTCCCAATGGGGCTTCCACTCCCAACACTCCAATGGGTCTTTTCTCAAGATCACCCTCATTGGTTTATAAACCCAATGGTGGTAAACAACCCCCTGATGCTAAATTTGACTGGCTTTTAAAAATAAATAAATAAACCCAATGGTTGACTCTCAGTCCTCACCTTATTTTATCTATCCACAGCACTTGAGTCCGTTTCTTATTCTATCCTCTTTTTTTTTTTTTTTTTTTTTTTTTTTGAGACAGAGTCTCTCTCTGTTGCCTGGACTAGAGTGCCTTGGCGTCAGCCTGGCTCACAGGAACCTCAAACCCCTGGGCTCAAGCAATTCTTCTGCCTCAGCCGCCCGAGTAGCTGGGACTACAGGCATGCGCCACCATGCCCAGCTAATTTTTTGTATATATATTTTTAGTTGGTCAATTAATTTCTTTCTATTTCTAGTAGAGATGGGGTCTCACTCTTACTCAGGTTGGTTTCGAACTCCTGACCTTGAGCAATCCTCCCGCTTCGTCCTCTCAGAGTTCCATCCTCTTTAAAATACTATCCAGGGCACCACAATCTCCTGATCCTTTCCAATATCACAGACTCCTCCTTCTTAATCTCTTTTGAAAAATCTTCCTCAACTCGGCAATCTCTAAATGTTGATTATTTCAGAACTCCATCCTAGAACTTCTCTATTACACTAATCTCTTGCTGATTTCATGGCTTTAAATACCATATACATGATGACAACTCCCAGAGTTCCCAGTGGAACTTGTCCCTAGCACACCAGAAGCACACATCTAACTGCCTGCTCAGCATCTTCACTGTGATGTCTAACAATGAGCAAACTCCTGGTCAAACTTACACATTCCAAGCCAATTCAT